TTTGTTTTAAACTGCGTTTACAGCTGGTGAAAGACAAAACCAGCCCTTGGGGCGGTGGGAGATTTCCAAAAAAATGGGATTTTTATTTTTTTTTTCTCAGAAAAATGCAGTTTTTAGCCCATTTTGAGCTGTGGGTGACAGTTCTGCCCAGGCAGGGACGTTCCCAGTGGGAGTGGCGGGATCGGGAGGGAATCGCTGCCAGGAATGGCACTGGCACGGCTGGGAATGGGATCTTCTCTGGGCTCACTTTGGGGACATTTGGTTCATTTTGGGGCCATTTTGGTTCATTTTGGGGCCATTTGGGTTCATCCTGGGTTCATTATGATTGGGTCCCCCAAATAAACCCAATCTTGAGTTTATTTTGGGACCATTTTGGGACCGTTTTTGTTCATCCTGGGTTCATTTTGGAGCCATTTTGGACCATTTTTGTTTATCTTGGGACCATTTTGGGTTCATCCTGTTTGGGACCATTTTCGTTCATTTTGGGACCATTTTGGTTCATCCTGAGACCATTTTTTGGGACCATTTTTGTTCATCTTGGGATCAATTTTGGGACCATTTTTGTTTATCTTGGGGCCATTTTGGTTCATCCCGGGACCATTTTTTGGGGCCATTTTGGTTCATCCTGGGATCAATTTCAGACCATTTTGGTTCATCCTGTTTGGGACCATTTTGGTTCATTTTGGGACCATTTTGGGTTCATTTCGGGACCATTTTGATTCATCTTGGTCTCATTTTGGGACCATTCTCGTTCATCTTGGGTTCATTTTCGGACCATTTTGGTTTATCCCGGGTTCATTATGACTGAGTCCCCCAAATAAACCCAATCTTGAGTTTATTTTGGGACCATTTTGGGAACCATCTTGGGTTCATTTTGGGACTGTTTTGGTTCATTTTGGGGCCATTTTGGTTCATGCTGGGTTCATTTTGGAGCCATTTTGGGACCATTTTTGTTTCTCTTGGGACCATTTTGGGTTCATTTTAGGACCATTTTGGTTCATCTTGGGTTCATTTTCGGACCATTTTGGGTTCATTTTGGGACCATTTTGGTTCATCCCGGCACCATTTTTTGGGACCATTTTGGTTCATCTTGGTCTCATTTTGGGACCATTTTGGTTCATTTTGGGACCATTCTGGTTCATCCTGGGATCAGTTTCAGACCATTTTGGTTCAATTTGGGACCATTTTGGTTCATTTTGGGACCATTTGGGTTCATTTTGGGCCCATTTTGGTTCATTTTGGTTCATTCTGGTTCATCCTGGGTGCAGCCCGGGCTGGGCTCTGCTGCTGCCCGTGCTGTCTGCATGGAGGAGCTCCTTTCCATCAATCCCTGCTTTATTCTGTAACTCAGCCCAGCTCAGCACCCCCTGCCCCGTTTTCCTCCCCAGAACCAGCACGACGACGTCAAGAAGCAGCTGCTGGAGCTGCAGCTGCAGCACAACAGCCTCAGGCTGGAGCACAGGAGGAGCCTGGAGAGCCACGGCCAAAAACTGGCCCAGCTGCAGCAGCAGAGGGACAGCGAGGTCACCAACCTGCAGGGTGAGCGGAAACACAAAAATCAAATTATTGCTCTGAGCCCTGGGGCGAGCAATGGGAGCTGGGGAAGAGCCCGGAGAGAAGGAATTGCTGGAGCAGGTTTGGGGTTCCTGGGCTTGGAGAGGTCTGTGAGCTCAGGGGGGTTTGTGGGGAGAAAAAAATGAAAAAAATAATATATTTTTAAACAAATGTCTTCTCCTCCTGCAGACACGGTGCAGAAACTCAGAGAAGAGAGCAAACTGCTCAGGAAAGCTCACCTGGAGGTGCACTCGCAGCTCCTCAGTGCCCAGGTAACCACCTGGGCAAGCAGTCCCTAAAGAATAAATATTCTATAAATAATAAATATTCTCCAAATAATAAATGTTCTCTAGGTGATACATAGTCTTTAAATAATAGAGAATATTTAGAGTTCCCTGTTCCCAGCAGGGAGATGTTTAACCCTTGTGAGGTTTCTCTGTGTCCTTCTCTCCCCTCAGTGCCCAGGTAACCACCTGGGCAAGCAGTCCCTAAAGAATGAATATTCTATAAATAATAAATATTCTCCAAATAATCAATGTTCTCTAAATGATAAATATTCTCCAAATAATGAATCCAGGTTCCAGCAGGGAGATGCTTAACCCTTTATGAGGTTTCTCTGTGTCCTTCTCTCCCCTCAGTGCCCAGGTAACCATCTGGGCAAGCAGTCCCTAAAGAATAAATATTCTATAAATAATAAATATTCTCCAAATAATAAATATTCTCTAAATAATAAATATCCTCCAAATAAAAAATATTCTCTAAAGAATAATTATTCTCTAAAGAATAATTATTCTCTAAATAATAAATCCAGATCCCAGCATGTTTAACCCTTTATGAGGTTTCTCTGTGTCCCTCTCCTCCCCTCAATGCCCAGGTAACCACCTGGGCAAACATTCTCCAAATAATAAATATTATATAAATAATAAATATTCTCTAAATGATAAATATTCTCCAAATCATGCATCCAGCTCCCACAGGGAGATGTTTGACCCTTTATGAGGTTTCTCTGTGCCCTTCTCTCCCCCAGGCGCAGATGGAGGAGTTCAGGCAGCTCAAGGAAGCTCTGCAGAAGATGCCGGGCCTGAGAGGAGGAGGAGGAGGAGGAGGAAGGAAGGGGCAGCAGCCCCTGGTGCCAGCCAGCACCCACCTGCAGCCGGGGAGGCCCCAGGTGTGGAATTCCCTGGGATTTCCCTGTGGGATTCCCTGGAAAAGCCCGGGATGAACATTCTGCAAAGCTGCCGGGGCTTCAACACAACGAAAATCAGAGTTTGCTCTTGTCCTTCCTCCCTTCCTTCCTTTTTGGAATTNACATTGTAATCCAATGGAAAGTTGCCACAAAGTTAATTTTGTTTTTTCTAACCTATCACCTTTGCTTAATTTTACTGAACTGGGTATAATTTATCCAATGGGTTACCGTTACATGTACACCCATATGCTTCTGTTATAGTATATATTGTAATTATATATTATATATAAGAATTATATATGTTATATAGATATAATTATATATCATTAGAACGATATAATTTTATATATTATATATTATAATTCTACATTCAATATTCTATATTTTATATTCTATATTTTATATTCTATATTTTATATTCTATATTAGACATTATATATTATATATTATATATATATAATTATATATCATTAGAACGATATAATTTTATATATTATATATTATATTATAATTCTACATTCAATATTCTATATTTTCTATTCTATATTCTACATTATACATTATACATTCTACATTCTACATTCTACATTATGTACATTATATATTATATATTATATATTTTGCCTATATTTTAATACATTAGTCATTATATATTTCTATATCTGTATTTATATATTTTTATACTGTATATTCTGGTCCCTGTCCCTGGCAGATGCAGGAGTCATCGAAAGCGAGCTGCACTCCCAGAAGGAGCCCGAGGCCCAGGAGCCCATGGTGAGTGACCAGAGCACCACAAACCCCCAAAGGCTGGGAAAGGACCTTAAATCTCATCTGAGCCCCTCCTCAGCCACCTCCCACTGTCCCAGGCTGCTCCAAACTTGGAAAGGACCTTAAATCTCATCTGAGCCCATCCCTGGCCACCTCCCACTGTCCCAGGCTGCTCCAAACTTGGAAAGGACCTTAAATCTCATCTGACCTCTCCTCAGCCACCTCCCACTGTCCCAGGCTGCTCCAAACTTGGAAAGGACTTTAAATCTCATCTGCCCCCATCCCTGGCCACCTGCCACTGTCCCAGCGTGCTCCAAACTTGGAAAGGACCTTAAATCTCATCTGAGCCCCTCCTCAGCCACCTCCCACTGTCCCAGGCTGCTCCAAACTTGGAAAGGAACTTAAATCTCATCTGCCCCATCCTCAGCCACCTCCCACTGTCCCAGAGTGCTCCAAACTTGGAAAGGACCTTAAATCTCATCTGCCCCCATCCTCAGCCACCTCCCACTGNTTTTCTTTGATTAAGGATTTTCTGGCCCAGGTTTGGGACTGTTTTATATATATATATATATAAAATAGATTTCTATTGATATTTATTTATTGATCTAAATCCAGGGGTGTTCCTTGCAGGGTGTGGAGATGCAGATGCACATCCAGGTGAGGAGCCACGAGCAGAGCCCGGCCCCTGGGCTGGCCCTGCCTGAGCCAGGACCAAAATCTGCAGCAGAAAATGCGCCAGGGCCGGGCAGGGAGCTGCCAGCACACAGGTGGGTGCCACCAAATCCCTCAAAACGGGGATTTCCAATGGGTTTGGGGACGCAGAATTCTTCTACTTTGTGTTTGGGGTAAAGATGCCCAAAAGGAGCATCCTTCTTCTTGTCTGTACCGTGGGTTTGCTTGAAAAAATGGGGTTTTTCACTGGTCTCGGTGACACAAAATTCTACTTTGACCTTTTGGGATGAAGATGCCCAAAATGAGCATCCCTCCACTTGATTTTACTGGAGGTTTGCTTCAAAAATGGGATTTTTCACACAAAATTCTTCTGCTCTGTGTTTGGGGTGAAGATGCCCAAAAGGAGAGCATCCTTCTTGTCTATACTGTGGATTTGCTTGAAAAACTGGAGTTTTTACGGGTTTTGGTCACACAAAATTATTCTACTCTCAGTTTTTGCCCAAAAGGACCATTCCCCTTCTTGTCTTTATTGTGGGTTTGCTTGAAAAATGGGATTTTTTTTTTACTGGTTTTGCTGGAATTCCTGGGATTCCGGGCACAGATGTGGGGAATGGATTTGTAGAGGATTTTAAAATTTTTATAGAGGGTTTATGTAGTATGTATTTACATGTGAATTTTGAGGTAAGAAATGGTAAGAAATGCTGATTTCAAAATGTTATGGTGTATTATATTGTATTATGCGATGTTATTACATATATATATTATATTATAGTATATATGCAATATATACTATATTACATAATGTATGTAGTATATATAAAATAACATATGTTATTACAATATGTACATTATATTATAGTATATTATTATTATATATACTATATAGAGTATATATATAGTGTATATCTATAGTATATATATAGTGTATATATAGTATATATATAGTGTATATATAGTGTATATATAGTGTATATATATAGTATATATACTATATACAGTATATACTATATATATAGTATATAGTATATATACTATATATATAGTATATATAAACTATACATAGTATATATATTATTATATATACTATATTATAGTATAGTATATACCATTGTATATCATTATATAATATATAATTATTGTATTATATATCATTATTATATTACATTATATTATATATCATTATATATCACTATATATCATTATATATCAGTATATTATATATCAGTATATTATATTATATTATATTATATTATATTATATTATATATCATTATTTTATGATACTACATGAATATAATACAGTATAATAAAATAATAAATGAGCCTTTGGAGCACGTGGGGTCAATGCTGATCGTTCCTCCCTGCCAACCCCACCCACCCCTGTCTGTCTGCAGCTGGCAGGTCCCTGTGAGCCCGGGGGATGCCCGGGGGATGCCCAGGAG